ATATATATATATATATATATAGACACACACACACATTGGAAATCCCCTTGTGCTAATAACGGGAGAGGTTCTCTGTTGACCTCATCATGAAGTAGAAAGCTTCTAGGACCGGTTGCTTGTCATAAATAAACATGAATCACAGGCACAGCTAAATTTATTTTGACACTACTATCAAATAATTATCACAATAGTCACATGGTAACCCATAGTAATAATTATGATCTAAGTTGCATGGAAACGGGCACGGGTACTGGTACGGGCACGGGTGTGGGTACGGGACACGGTAAAACTGTAAAATGTAGAGTACGGGGACACGACTACATATATATATATTGAATTAATACTGTACATAAGATAATTTTTCCCCTTCATGTGTCATTAGAATTAAAATTTCGATCATATTTTTGAGTTTCTTTTATCATATTGATTATCGTGAATTGTAAACTACTCATTTTTTTACTAGACATCTAAACGATCCATTAACTATATAGTTTTAAACTTGGGTATGGACTGAAACGAATCCGATCCATATCTCATTAGTTTCAAAAGACGGATGTGAAGTGTAAGCTCTACGTCCAGGAAGTCTTTGGTTTTAAATTAACACAGATATCATATAATTGAGTACATGTCGTAATAAATGCATGCATATATTCAAGAAGTGTCCATGAAGTTTGGGTACGGGAGAGTGTCGGGTACGTGTCCGGTACGGGTACGGCTTCATTATAGAAGTACCCGGGTAATATAGATTATGATGATATAACTATATGAACACGTGTACAAGTTGCAGATGAAGGAACTTTCAAGTTTCTACTTTTAAGAATATGGCCAAGAGGTATATAGTCAAGATGCAGAAAGAATAAACTGCAACTTACTGTTCCATCACAACTTGGACAATCTTTGGAGGGTAGTGGGGTTGAAAGATCAATTGCAGAAGGGAGATGCACCAACTCTGCCTGGTTACCCACAATGGCTTCTGCAACATGCTCTGCAGTTGCCTTCTGCTCACTGCGAAATGTTTCAGAAAACAAAGAAGAACTTGTCAACAAACTAGAAATAATTACTAAATTCTCAACTTGAAAATAATCTCTTTAAGCATATGCCAAAAGCAAAAGCAAAATGTAGTGGGAAATAATTTACTACACCAAAATACAAACTTCAACATGCATTTAAAGCTGACTACGCTGACACGACTCCTACATTTTAAGTCCGATTTCACATGTTAACTCCTATATGTCCAAGCTTCAATTCAATTATAGAGGAGAAGGCTTAAAAAATTCCAAACCAAAAAAAGTTAGAATAACTATTAATCTCAAAATGAAAAGAATAAACAAATAGATATTTGCAAGAGGGCAAGCAGGAAGTGAGGAAACTACACGGGCAGAAACTTAAAGCATATGCCAAGAGTATGCTCTTATTATACCCATTAAAAATGTAGCATCATTGAATAAAAGACCAGTATAGAAAATGGTAGAAATAAAATCCCTGTGGGCAATTTTGCGTTTCTTACAATAAAAACAATATTTAGCAACAAAAAGCAAAGTTTCTACCTTTTGAAGCCTTTCACTTGATAGTGCACTTTGCCCGTGCCTGTGCACATAGTACATCTCATTGCTTGCCAACCATTGCAGGTCCGACAGTTCCTATAATGTCAAAAACCAATGCACATAAGTAACTCATTACATTCTCCAATAATCCACATGTAGTAGTTACGCCTCTGGCTTAATTTAACAGTATATCAATATAAACACCACCAAAAAGTTACATTGCAACCAAAAACCCTAAATAAACCCTACTATCACACACACGATAAGAATATGCACATGGGCTCAAGCATTTCCAATTCCGTCAAATGATCATGCTACTACAAAGATTTCTACTCAATGAGAGGAAAAGATTTGATTTTTTTTCCCAATTCTTTTCAATTCCTTTCAGTTCAAAATAAAAAAAAAATCCCAAATTACCTCTGGCACAGCACTTTCTTCCCCAGTTCCAACGCAATGTCATAGGTTCCAAGAGTCGCCACAGCCTTACCCAAAAAAAAAAAAATCAATCGACACAATTCCAACTAGCTCAGAAAAAATGAGTATCTAGGGTTTCGATGGAGGGATTACGAAGATTGCAGAGAAGGCGAGGTTGGAGGCGAGCTCGGGGATGCCGAAGCCGCGAGGGGCGGAGCCGGCGATGTCGAAGACGAGGGTGAAGGGGGAGAGCACCACTCTGATGGGGAGCTCGAGGAGGTCGATCACTTGCTGACCGTACCGGTCCTTGAAGAGTTTGCCCTGGACGTCGGCGAACTGCTTTGCTGCCCGTACTAGCTTCTCCGTGCCCTTCCCCATCTTGGGCCGGGCCGGGTCGGGCTCGGGGGTTTGTGGGCCTTGTTTATTTCCTTGTTTTGGAGTTACTGGGACTCGAGAGAGGGAGGGAGGGAGAGCGAAGAGAATGGGAGAGGATGACGGATAAGGGGGAGGGAATGGAGGCTCCCTACGGCATGAGCGTCTCACGTGGAGTCTTTTCTGATTTCTTTTTTAGACATGTCAGGGCACACCCCTAACCATAATCTCAACCACACCTCATCTCCCTCTATAGTGCATTGGGTCCTACATTAAATTTTTTTAAAAAATTTGACGTGGGACCCAATGCACTATAGAGGGAAAGAATGTGTGGTGGAGGGTGTGGTTGGGGGTGTGCCCCTAACACCACTCTTTCTTTTTCCGGTTTTAACCCCTCAGCTTAATTTCATAACACACCCAAGTTTTAGACCCGTTGTAGCTAGGCCCCTCAATTTTGAAAACTTAAGAAAAATTTCATGAACTTTTCACTTTTAACCTTTGTAACTAACATCGTAAAGTAGAATATGTTATTTCACAAGTATATAATTTAAAACAACAAAGGTATCCCTCAACTATAAAAAATTGACCCTTTTTTGTTGAGACAAACCCGGGGCCCAATAGAGCAGGGTCGCAGCAATAGTAGAGCAAAAGTAGAGATAAAATGTTGGACACACAGATTTACGTGGTTCGGTACTTGATTGCCTACGTCCACGGGCAAGGATAGAAGAATTCACTATGAGGAGAAAACTCTGGAGTTACAATCTCTCTTTCTAAGGAGATACTCTCTCTATTTTTTTCTCTCACACTCTTCTATATAAGAAGAAGTTTCTGGGATGAGTTTTTCCTTAAGGATTTGGAGCCTATTTATAGTTTTTGAAAAAACATTATGCACAATAAAATATTAATATTTTACTGTGTATTTCTAAAATCTTCAAACTTCACGGCTGCTTTCGGTGTGATAATTTGAGGTGGGTCCCACTCCTTTTGTTTTCTTTTATAATTGTCAACAATTGTGATCTTAGTGGATTCACATGGGCGGCTGATTGCTGACAATCTCCCACTTGAAGATTTGGTTGAGTATCAATCATATCTTCACATCATTCTTTCTATCTTTCCATCTTTATGTTGCTTACGTCTCCATCAGACCACAAGAGGATCGACACCAAATAAATTTGTCAGTACTGACTGCTTTGGTCAAAAAATCTGCTAGGTTGTCTTTGGTGTGAATTTTCTGCATATCCACTGTTCCTTCTTCCACTTTCTCACGAACGAAGTGATACTGAACTCGAATGTGCTTGGTCTTTGAATGAAAGGCTGGATTTCTTGCCAAATGCAAAGCACTCTGACTGTCACAAAATAGAGAAATCTTCTTTTGTTCATGGCCGAGTTCCTCCAGCACCATCTTCAACCACATCGCTTCTTTACTAGCTTGTGTAGCTGCTACATACTCTGCTTCTGTTGTTGAAGTAGCCACAACTGACTGCAGTTTTGAAACCCAGCTTACAGCTCCGCCAGCAAGTGCAAACACATAACCTGTGGTGGATTTGCTATTATCACGATCACCTGCATAATCAGAATCAACATATCCACTGACAATAAAATCAGATCCCCCATAACATAATGCAACATTTGAGGTTCCTTGAATGTATCTTAGAACCCTCTTTACAGCATTCCAATGCTCTTTACCAGGATTCGCCATGTATCGACTAACCACTCCCACTGCTTGTGCAATGTCTGGTCTTGTACAAATCATCGCGAACATTAAGCTTCCCACTGCTGATGCATACGGTACTCGAGACATCTCCATCCTCTCTTCTTCACTGCTAGGACTCATACTGGAGGATAACTTGAAATTAACAGGAAGTGGGGTAGAAATTGACTTACAATCTTGCATGTTAAAGCGTCGCAAGATTTTCTTCAAATAGTTCTTCTGAGAAAGCCAAATCTTCCTATTAATTCTGTCTCGGTAAATTTGCATCCCTAGAATCTTGTTTGCAGATCCTAAATCCTTCATTTCAAATTCCCTAGCCAACTGAGCCTTTAATTCTTTGATACGATCTTTGTTGGGGCCTGCAACCAACATGTCGTCAACATACAACAATAAGATAACAAAGTTATTTTCACCAAACCTCTTGAAATATGCACAAGGGTCTAAATCAAGTCTGTTGTATCCAAGGCTCATGATTAATGAATCAAATCTCTTGTACCAACATCTCGGCGCCTGCTTTAGACCGTACAGAGATTTGTTCAATCTGCAAACCAAGTTCTCTTTTCCTTTTTCTTCAAAACCTTCTGGTTGGAGCATGTAAATTTCTTCTTCAAGATCTCCATGAAGAAATGCTGTTTTCACATCTAGCTGCTCTAGATGTAAGTCAAATATAGCGCTCATAATCAGGACTATTCGGACTGTTGTTAGTCGCACTACAGGAGAAAATATTTCATTAAAATCAATACCTTCTTTCTGAGCATATCCTTTTACCACCAATCTAGCACGATATCGCTCCACTTGATCATCACCATTTCGCTTGATCTTGTAGACCCATTTGTTTCCAATGGCCTTTCTTCCTTGTGGCAGTGACACAAGTTCCCAAGTCTTGTTCTTATAGAGAGCTTCAATTTCTTCCTGTATTGCTGTCATCCACAAAGATGCATCTGTGCCATTAATAGCTTCATGAAAAGTTGATGGCTCTCCATCTTCTGTTAGAAGACAGTATGCAACATTACTCTCCGTAATATACTCCGAGTGCCAAGTCGGTGGTCTTCTCTCACGAGTTGACCTTCGAATTTCTGGAGCCTCGGACTCGACCGGTTTTTGTACATCATGCTCCGGTGTTGCTTCAGAAGAATTCAGATTATCTTCTACCTGAACAGCTACAGTCTCTCAGTCCTTCCTCGAACTGCTTTCTTTTTCTTCACTTTGTAGTTTGTTCTCTATAAAAATAACATCTCTGCTGATGATAACCTTGTGGGCAGTGGGATCCCACAGGCGATACCCCTTTACTCCATCAGCATACCCCAAGAATATGCATTTTCTGGATTTTGAATCCAGCTTTGTAATTTCTTAGGCATTGTACATTACGTACACTGGACTTCCAAATATATGGAGGTTGGAATAGTCAGCTGGTTTGCCGTATAAGCCGTACTGAATTGTCTTTTGATGCCTTCATGCTTGCAGAATGCTAGGAATTCACCGTCTGTGTATTCTCCTCCATTATCTGTTCTCAAGCACTTGATCTTCTTCTCAGATTCAAGCTCGACCCGCGCTTTGTAGGCTTTAAAGACTGAGAACACATCCGCCTTCTTCTTGATAGGATACACCCAACATCTCCTGGAGTAATCATCAATAAAGGACACAAAGTACTTTGCTCCTCCTAAGGATGTAACTGGTGCTTGCCATACATCAGAATGAACCAGTTCCAGAATAGCCTTGCTTCTAGAACTCGATGTGTTGAACTTCAGTCGATGTTGCTTGCTTGTAACACAATGCTCGCAGAATGGAAGAGCTACCGAATTAAGTCCAGGAAGCAGCTTTTGATCGGAGAGAACCTTCAAGCCTCGTTCTGACATGTGGCCTAGTTTGCGATGCCACATCATGGTTTGTTCTTCTCCACGGCTGGTTGATGCCACACATGAATCAGCTTCCTGCATGGTTTCTCCCTTGAACATATATAGATTTGCAGCTATCTTTTCTCCTTTTATCACCACAAGCGCCCCTCTAACAATCTTCATGATTCCATTTTCGATATGAGTTTTGTATCCGAGCTCATCTAATTGTCCCAAAGACAATAGATTCTTCTTCAAGCCCTTCACATGTCGCACATCTTGAATGGTGCGTATTGTACCATCAGACATTTTGATTTTGATAGTACCAATACCAGAAATCTCCAAGGCATGATCATTCCCCATGAATACAGATCCTCCTGAGATAGGTTCATATTTGTGAAACCATTCTCTCCGAGAGGTTATGTGCCAAGAGGCTGCTGAATCTAGAAGCCAGACATCAGCAAACTTCTTTCTGCCTTCATCAACAGTGGTTGCTCCACTAAATAGAATTTCACCATCCTCTGACGTGCTGACAACGCATCCTTGAGATGTTGATGGCTCTGAAGACTTTTTATCTCCACTCTTCTTGTTGTGCCAACACTCCGATTTGACGTGCCCTCTTTTGCCACAGTTGTAGCATTTGATATTCTTCTTACTTCGTGATTTCGATCTACCATGGGCATGACTCCCACTGGAGCCACGTTCTGTTGATCTTCCTCTCGTCACTAACAAGGCCTCCGCTTGCTGCGAACTTGTCTGTCTGTCTTCCTTGTTCTTGCGCCGATTTTCTTCATCCAGAACAGTGGCTGCAACATCGTCGAAGACTAGATTGTCCGTGAGGACGTTGTTCGTTAGGTTGATGATGAGTTGATCATATGAGTCAGGTAGACTCTGAAGTAGAAGTTCTGCACGTTCATTCGCACCAACTGTATATCCCAACGTTGTGAGTTGGGAGAACAGTGTGTTTAGGGTGTTGATGTGGTCGGTCATCGATGTAGATTCCGCCATCCTCAGAGTGTAAAGTCTCCTTTTTAAGAAGATTTTATTGTGCATGGATTTCGCCTCATATAGCTTTGTTAGAGTATCCCAGATCTCCTTTGCTGTCTTCTTCTCCTCTATGCTTGACAGCACCCCGTCTGCTAATGCCAGATGGAGATTTACAATAGCATTTTCGTCCATCTCGTTCCACTTCTTATCATCTGTGATGTCGTCTGGCCTTGCACCAATGGCCGCCAGGCAATTATCTTTTTTCAAGATATCCTTTATCTTCAACTTCCACAGTGAGAAATTACTCCCGTCGAATTTCTCGATCTTGAACTTAGCCGCCATTGCTTCTACCACGAACAGTAACTTCTTACTATTTCACGTAAATAGTACTGTATTTATGAACAGTAACCGTATCCGTGAATAGTATAGTACTTATGAATAGTACCGTATTTGTGAACAGTACCGTACTCGTGAATAGTACCCGTCACCTCCAAAGGGTAAGTGATAACCTAACTTATTTTCTGATGTGGAGGATCCACCTTTGGTGGCAGCCACAGAGCATACGATAAGTAGATATATACAAGTACCCTAAGTTGTCTCTGATACCACTTGTTGGGACAA